GATGGAGAACTTGGGCTGGGATGGGCGTGTAGGGCAGCCAAGGCTGATTAGGTAGTTAGCGACGAGGGGGATTTTGTTTGATTCTTTTTTTTTTTCTTTTTGTTCTGATGGAGTTAGCAGCTGGGTGCTCCTTTGGATGATACGGGTTTGAGAGGAAATTAGGTTCGCAGGCGAGGGAAATATCAGGCGCAAGACTCATGCGCTATCGGCGGACTAGCGGTTGCTTTCTTTTTCGTCGAGTTACGACAGAGTACTCCGCAAGTCGATGATGTCGATGGAGAATAGTGAATTATCGCCGGCGAGGAGGGAAGCCGGGGTCCTGATGGCCGGACGGGAGGGCAGAGTAGTTGGTTAGTTAGCTGGTTGTCCGCGTGTTCGTAGCTCGCTGATCGGACTGGCAGCCCTGCGATTTGCATTTGGGCGACAAAAAGAAGGGTCCGGATCGGGTGGGTAGATTTGGTTTGGATGGAACAAATTAAAACTCTTTTAAGCAGCAAGAGGACATGGCCACCGCCATCCGTCCGCTCGACTCTCTTTATCTCGCTCTCTCTGTCTCCCTCCCTCTCTCTCTCTCTCTCTCTCTCCCTTCCGTCGCCCGTGACTTTGCCTCTCTCGCGCCCCATCTGTCTCTCCCCGCTGTCCTCCTCTCGCTGCCGTCCTGGCCGATTCTGGGATGCCACTCGACGTCGTCTTGTCGATAATCTAGCTGCATAACTACAGAGCTAAAGTTGTTAACTTGGCTGTCGCTGCAAAGCCGGTGCCACCATCGCGAGCACACGGGCCCAGACGATGAGACTCGTATCGCCATCCAAACTTAATCCATCTTCTCGGTCCCTGAATTAAGGCCCTTCCCGACCAAATCTTAATTTTTTTTTTTTTTCTAAACTAAAACTATAGCTTCTATATAACTGTTATATATCCTCAAAGGTCGGTTGCCTGGTGGAAGGGTATGTTAAGCTGAGCTACGCGTGGCCGTGTTCTGGGCGCATCGCAATCACTCGCTCTGGTCGCATTTCAGCTCCATAACTAACCAGCAGGAGTGACTGATATAACTCCCTGTCCCCGTGTCAGGGCGGCTTCGCTGCACGGGCTCCCAAACGTCCCAGCGCGTGGTTGCTGCAAGCGCTCGCTCGTCTTGTCCTGTCCTGTCGTGGGGTTGGTTGGATGTGCACGCCTCTAACCCCTCCCCCCCGTTCGCTGCTGCTGGGTGACACGGAGCGGAATCAGCCCCAAGAGCGAGCCCTGGTTAGGCGGTTAATTAGCTAGTGAGGCCGTCGCAACTTACGTCTCGATCCCGCCCAGCCCTGCACCCCCGAACCCTCCACGCTTCCTCTCTCTCTGCCTGCCCGCCGAACAGGACGATATATCTCCCGATCCTAAAACTTGTTTCACTCGAATTTTAAAAGAAAGATAAAATAAAATAATAAGATTTCCACTTTGCAGGTGGAACCCTGGGGCTTGCCGATCACAATGAAGGTATGTTCTGGGAATCTTATCTGCCTCTTTTTTTCCCCGTCCCCTCTGCCCATTTGTTAGTTTTTCGATGAGGTTACCTCTATTCTCCCCTTTTTCTTACCCCCCCTTTAAAAAAATGTAATATGCCCCATCAGGGATGCGTTTGGGTTTCAGCTAATCGGTTCCGCCGCCGTGGTTCTTTTTCCCCTCGTTGCTAGGCCATCAGACGTTCACTCAAGGGCGACAAAGACCAGAAGCCACAGCATGTCTCCATCACTCCCAAGTCTGCCATCGCTATTTTGCCGCCAAAGAAGGTGAGTGTTTGGTTTCCTTTCGCTTCCCGCTCCACCCTTGCCCGCCCGTCGTCGCCACGCTTCTTAGCGGCCCTTGCGATGCCCAATAGGCTAATCCACTTCCCTTTGAACCCCACAGGTCATAAGGGCCCTCTACGATTACACTCCCGATCCAGCCAACACACACGAGCTTGCCTTCAGCAAAGGTGATTTTTTCCATGTTATAAGCAGAGAAGACGACTTCGATTGGTACGAAGCCTGCAACCCACTATCCTCCAGTGCCCGTGGTCTGGTCCCCGTCTCTTTCTTCGAGGTCATCGGCAAGACAGAGCGAAACAGCGGCGGCTCGACTGGCTTTCCCGAAGACCATCGCAGCCACGACCTTCAGAGTTCGGATCCTTCGGACCGGAATACACTCGTCGGTACAGAATCTACGACAAACACGACAAAACAAGGTGCGCAGGCAAGGATGTCGGCGATTGGGAAGAGTGCGGGCGCAATGGTCTACGGAGTGGTGCAGTATGATTTTCACGCAGAAAGACCAGATGAATTGGAGGCCAGAGCCGGCGAGGCGATCATCGTCATCGCCCAGTCGAACCCAGAGTGGTTTGTTGCAAAGCCAATTGGGCGTCTGGGTGGCCCGGGCCTCATTCCCGTCTCCTTCATCGAGGTCCGAGACATGGTCACGGGCCAGCCCGTAACCGATCCCCACGAAGCCGTTAAGCGTGCGGGAGTCCCGCGGGTCGAAGAGTGGAAGAAAATGACAGCAGAGTACAAGAACAGCTCTATTACCCTGGGCAAGTTCGAGACTGGAGGTGTTCAGTCTGCCACCGCCGAAATCGAAAAGATGAGCTTGAACAACAGCGGCCATCACAACAGCAACGATTATGTGAGTCAAACTTACCCCTCCCCCCTCTCCCCCCTGGCCCAATGTCACCACCGCCTTTTTGTCTAATCTCTCTCTGCGCGACAGTACCATCAGCGCAACGCAAGCAAAAGTCAGAGATATCCCAACCCGAACCAGCAATTCCAACAGCAGCGATCACAGGATTATTATTCCGTCCCCGCTCCGGTCCAGGCGTCGATCCCCCGCTACTGCTTCGATAATGACAAATACTGGTATATTATTGAGGCGCAGATGGAAGATGGCAGATGGTGGGAACTATCAAGATACTATCATGACTTTTATGACTTCCAGATCGCTCTGCTTGCGCAATTCGAGGAGGAAGCTGGGAATAAGGGAGGTCCTCGGACACTGCCATTCATGCCCGGCCCAGTCACTCATGTGACAAATGCAATATCCAACGGTCGCCGTCAAAACCTGGACGAGTACATTAAGAAATTACTCTCCATGCCGCCGCACATTTCGCGCTGTCAGCTTGTCCGCCAGCTTTTCGCACCACGGCCTGGCGACTTCGAAATCGACCCTGCCGCAATGGCCGACGAATACCGGCTATCCTCGGGCTCTCAGCCATCCTCAGGACACGATGCATCGCCCAGTGCATCTCGACAATCCTCACAAGGCCAGATGAACAGCTATCTTAACCACCAGCGAAACCAGGGGTCCGTGTCGCAACCAAGCGTGGCCCAGCAGCCGATGATGCTTCGACAGGGTAGCGCACTAACACAAGGGTCCATATCATCCGGCTCGAATGCGATCAAGATCAAAGTGTTCTTCCAAGATGATCTCATTGTCGTCCGTGTCCCTACCGATGTCACATTGCAGCAATTAAGAGACAAGATCAAGGACCGCTTAAAGGTCGACGAGGACATCCTCCTGCGGTACAAGGACGAACCGTCTCGCGGGTTTGTAGAGCTGCTCAGTGACGCTGATCTGGAGGTGGCCATTCAGCGGAATACGAAGCTCATGGTATATGTTGGGATTGCGTGATATCCTACCTACATCACAATTTGCTACAAGGCCCTGTTTCGCCCCTTTTTCCTCTCCATCAATTCGATTTATACAAGTTTACTTTTTCTTTTTTTTTTTTTTTTTTTTTTTTTTTTCTCCTTCGATACCAGTTTTATTTATTTCCCCTCTCTTCCCACTTTGATTTACCCCGATCAATTTTTCATTTTTTGTTTTCCTCGATCGGATGTTTGCAAATTTACGAACTTCGTTATGGGCTGAAATTTTTATCGGAGGTCTACATTCTGGTTTGGCTTGTGAGCTTCAGTGCCTCTGTTTGGTTACTTATTCTCCTGCTTGTTCTTCTTGGTTTGCTTTTTATTATTTTCCCCCATGTTAACTTGCTTGCAGATTTCTCTCTTCCTCCCAAAAACACACACACACACAACCCGCTATTCACTATCGTCCACACACCCCCGTTTCCTTCTCAAACACGTACCATGAATGCCCTTTTTCACCGCCTTCCCTTTTCCTTTTCCTTTTTTTTTTTTTCCTTCCTCTTCTGCACGTCATGTTTGTATGAACCAGGGACAAGCCAAGGAGGAATAGAAGATGCGAATAAGGGGAGAGGATAGTTCGGGTTGACGAATGGCACCCGGGGGTTATATGATATGAATGTGAAGATGAGCAACGATCAACGTAAAAAGACCAAACGCCCAATGCAATGAGGGAAAAGGGAAAAAAAAAAAAAGAAAGAAAAAAGTATCTTCAACTGCTCCTCCCTGGTAGTCGCTTTATATATATTTATTATAATTATATGTGTATGCTTTTGGAGTATCGCTATAGTATTCCTTGCTCGGTTTGCGATCCCGCTGGCTTTGATGGTTCTGTTATTAAGGGGGAATTCTCTTAGACCTGGTGATGCACACAATTGCTTCAAACATTCTTCCGCATCGCATGTACCTAAGGTAGCCATCGCTCCAATTCCGCAAAAAGCAATCACCAAACATGCAATTTTCATCGACAAGCCGAAAAAAGCAAGCAACGAAAATCAAAAAAAAAAAAATGAAAGCCCGATGCGGGGCTCGAACCCGCAGCCTTGAGATTAAGAGTCTCACGCTCTACCGATTGAGCTAACCAGGCGGCTCTTGGTGGAAGCAACTGGCTTGCTCAGCCACTTCTGCTGAGCCTGGTCCTGCCCCCTCATCCGTGATGACATAATTAAGGTCAGCATAAGCAGCCTCGGCAATTATTACCGGCACGCCAAACCGGATCCGGCCTAGCGCCCGTCCGATGGCAAAGCCGCTCGGGTGACCGTCGCTTTGAATTTCTCCGGCGGGATGATGGCGAATTGAGCCCGTTTTGCTGCTGCTGCTGATGCTGCTTCATTCTCGACCGTTATCTGTTATTCGATGTAAGGCGTATATATTTGCTTTCTTTCTCTCTTGGCCTCTCTCTCTCTCTTGTCATCTCCTGTTCGAGTAGTTTCAATAAAGCGTTTGCTTGCCTGTATCCTTTTTTTTCCCCCCCTTTCTTCTTCTCCCCGTTTGCCGGCCTTGTTTCGTCCCATCCTGTCCCGCGATCGTATCGATTAGCTATCCGTCCCCGGGAATGCTACATGTTAGGAAGAATGCAATTTGATGAGATACTTGTCTGAGACGGTACATTCTATTATCTGTATATATATATATATCGACAATAAGTCGGGAGATCGCACGACACGATTACAGACGGGATAAATTGGTATAATTCGAGCAGCTGAAGTGGGGAAGAAAAAATAAAGCTTTTGGGCCGAACGAATCGCCTCTTTTTTTTCCCATTCCCTTTCGGAGTATTATTAGAGACAAATGATTCGACCCGCCGTACGTCCATATCGCAAACTCCTCGTCAGTGCTACGTGGTCGGGACCTGGCGCTGCGCGTTCCTTTTCGGTCTGTGCGAGAGGTGTGGCGGACTCACATCGTTCGAGATGCTTGAGTGGATCGGCCCGCCGGGAGCAGTGCGTTGGATACGTGTCTCCGGGAAGTGGAGGGAGGGTAGACGGTGGGCTTAAATATGGTCAAACGAGGAGGATGACGGATGTCGGTACCGCAGTTGGGGTTCAGGACAGTGCTCCGGCAGCGACGTTTGGGCCTATCCAAGAGTATGATTCGAGAGTGGAGGCGGGGCGGTTGAGGGACGATGATTTTCAAAGAGGTACGTAGATACCCCAACCCTGCTGCGTGCGATTGTGTTGGAGAGAAAAATCGCCTTGTTAACTAGTACCTCCGTGCCTCCTTGCGGTTTTCTAGCAATTATCCAACATCTCCAAGACCTACATGAAGTCCTCAGAGGGTATAAGCCACCTCCAGTAGTCCACCCGTCTCTTGCTGAGTTGAATGCTGCGCCCAAATCCTCCTTATTTGATACCCTCTTCGGCCGTAGCTCTAAACCATCCGGCCTCATCTCACGGATACCCGAAAACCTGCCAAAGGGTCTATATATGCATGGCGACGTGGGATGTGGGAAGACCATGTTGATGGATCTCTTTTATGACACTCTACCTGCGAACATCGGCTCCAAGACACGCATACATTTCCACAATTTCATGCAGGACGTGCACAAACGGCTGCATCTTGTGAAAATGAAGCATGGAAATGACTTTGATGGAGTCCCCTTTGTGGCAGCTGAGATTGCAGAGCAGTCCAGTGTACTGTGTTTTGATGAATTTCAGTGCACTGATGTTGCTGACGCAATGATCCTGAGGAGGTATGCTGTGGATTTTTATGTGCTAGGACCATCTGATAAATATGCAGGAAGCTAACCTGGCAAGCAGATTGCTTGAATCCTTGATGTCCCACGGCGTTGTTTTCATAACAACATCAAACCGGCACCCGGATGAATTGTATAAGAACGGAATTCAGCGACAGTCTTTTATCCCATGCATCCAACTTCTCAAGAATACACTTACCGTCTTAAATCTTAACTCCACCACAGATTATCGCAAAATCCCGCGTCCACCGTCTGGTGTTTATCACTGTCCCCTCGGTCTGCAGGCCGACCATCACGCCGATAAATGGTTCGAGTATCTAGGGGATTTCAAAAATGACCCACCGCACCGCGCAGTGCATCAAGTCTGGGGACGCGATGTCGTCGTTCCACAAGCTTCAGGCAAAGCGGCAAGATTTACATTCGATGAGCTGATTGGCCGACCCACGAGTGCAGCGGATTATATCGAGTTGATGAGGAACTACAATGCGTTCATCATTACTGATGTGCCCGGGATGACGCTGCAGCAGCGTGATTTGGCCAGACGATTCATTACGTTTATTGATGCAGTCTACGAGAGTCGGGTATGAGTTGCTTGCTTTCATTTAAACTTTCAGCACGGCTGTAGAGAAACATACTAATACCCCTATGTCTAGGCTAAACTCGTCCTCACCACCGCTGTTCCTCTCTCACACCTCTTCCTTTCCCCCTCTGAGATCAAAGCCTCGATCACTCACACCCCAAAGCACTCTGCTGCTAATTCTAAACCCATCTCTTCCTCCTCCTCCTCTTCTTCTTCCTCGTCACCTGCTCAAGACTCCGGCGAAGACCTGGATGACTCCATGCGCATGTTGATGGATGATCTCGGTCTGTCCATGTCCCAATTAAGGGCCACCTCCATATTCAGCGGTGACGAAGAGCGCTTCGCATTTGCCCGGGCGTTGTCAAGATTAGCGGAGATGGAGGGCAAGGAGTGGGTTGAGAGAGGGATGGGCGTGGGACTGGATATCAAAGCAGGGATCGAAGAGAAGCAAGCGTGGGATAAGATGAGGAGTCGGTGGACGGAGGACAACATGTGAAAAGCCGTGGAATTCGAGGATGCCTTGTCGAGAGCAGTGATATCACTTCGTGTGTTGTATAGTTGTGCATATGTCATCGTCGACTGTTGGTACGTCGCTATGACGCTTTTCTTTTGTTTTAGATACCTCGATAGATCCCGTGCCTGTTTACTTTCAGTCTTATATATATATGCCGGGAGTAGTAACTTCTACCATGGAAACAATGCTAAAAGAGGCAGATGGAAATCAGTGATAGACTCACTATACAAGCATTTCGCCAACATTAACTAACATACATACATTCAAACACAATAAGGCCGAAGGTGCGTCTTCTCCAAGCCCCAAAAAAAAAAAAAAAAAAGGAAGAAGACCACCTACCTTGACCCGTCCAATCGGTGTATCAATCGTAATTCGTACCAACACATTATCGTAGAAAATCAGTCCAGCCAAATCAAAGTCCCAATCAAAGCAAAACAAAGGATCTCAAAAAGGAGAAGGCCACAAAACACAGCTAATTGCCCTCATCTCCTCCAAAAAGCCACTTTTCCAACCTTTCTCTTCAAAGTCCACCCCGTTTCGCTAAACCAATCTCTCACCTTCTCGCCGATATTTCTGTGCGCTCCGTAACTTAGACTGCTTAGCGCAGCAGAACTACCACCGCTGCCCGACGACCCAGACCCTGCAGCAAATTTCATCCTGCCCTCCGCTATCTTATGCACAATATTCAGGACCGCAAACGCCGTGGACCCCAGGCCACGGAAGACAGCCAAACCCGCCACCGCCCAGAGCACAAACGCGAGATAGCCATTGCTCCCAACTTCCTCGTTGTTATACGATTCGCTCACGGCCATTGCGAGGATCGCGTTGGCAATGACCCAAATAGACACCATGTACGTCCGCACCGCACGATAATAATCTTCTTGCATTTGCGCTTCGGAAACCTCGGGCGCTTGGACTTCTAGCCTATCACGGAGGTTGCGGAGAGCTTCGTCGTAGCCACTGTCGATGTCGAGTTGTTCAGACGGCATTTCGAGCTCGACGGTGGAAGAATCTCGCGTACGCGCAATTCCGAGATCGGTATGGATTACGTTGTCGCCCTTTGTGCCCCAGGTAACGTCGTGTGTGTTGCAGAATGCGTAGACCTGCAGAGTGCAGATGTAGCTCGGCAGAAGTGCAAAGTATTGGGCTGATGACGTGAACATGTGCCAAGGGTCGAGGTACATGAATGACATGAGGAAGTACAGACCAACAGTCGAGAGTGTCGAGACGATGATATTTGTGAAGATATTGTTTCCGAGGTTCAGTTCTTTATTCTTGGGGTCGTCACGGTGTTTGAGTTGCATCACCACCATGTACAATGCGGCGAAGGTAGTATAAGCCATGATGATACTGTACACAATCATACCCGTCAAGAACATCTTTTTAGCTCTATTACCAGTTGTCAGCTTAATCTTTTCAATAAGAGTAAAGGATTTTCCTACCCCTGAGGTCGATTTCCCATGGATAGAATAAACTGTAAACATATGAGCAAGATACAGGCGTATCTCAATGCAACAAATATTATTTTGCCAATATTATGTCCAAACGGATCAACGTCTGGAGCCGCCAAAGCCCCAGCAATGAAATAAAATGTGACATAAAAATTAGCCTAGTAGTTGAGAGTTAGTAGTCTGAGTATCGTATGCGGTCTGAGTTGTGAGGAACGAGGGCATACCAGAGAGAAAAATGTGAAGATCAAGCTCACAAACTGATAGACGAATTCAATATGAAGTAATATCTTTCGCATGACCGTATGATCTGTCTTCCAAATTTGACGGAAATGGATGAGAGAATATACGGCAGCAAAAAAGGCACCATTGAGCCATCTTCGTCGCTGAGAAATAAATTCAGGAACGGCATCTACAAATATAACGTCAGTCTTCGAGGGCAGAGACATCACAAAGAATCTTCTAAGCCGAACGATATACCTGGTACGTCAGTCTCCCCAACCGCACTTTTGACAAACTTCAAAATCCACTGGTCCTCTCTTTTAGCCACTAGCTCCCAGCATAGGATACGATCTTCTGCCAAGTACATGTTGGCGGTGAAGACATCAGCATTCTTCCCATGCAACATCTCTCCCTTGAAGTACTGGCTCAGGGGCCCATGTCCGGTGCTGTCGTTTTGCAAAGCGTGGTAACGGTATGCACTCAATGCTCCAGGAAGCACAGTGATGTATCCGAAAACTGACTCGAGAGGTTTATCCAAGATATTAGACATCTTGTACTCAAAATTTTGAGATGCCACAAGAGGATTGAACAAGCCAAGCCATCCCTTTCCTTTACCAGCCTTAATCTCTCCTGCGGCGCCCGCGACGTTTGAGTCTTGATCGAAAGCTTTCCACAAGTGGTATAGAGCTGTAGGCGATGGCTTGGTGCCGACATCGAGCAAAATGCAAACATTGGGAGTTAAGGCCCGGCCAAAAGCGTTGAAGAACCATCGATGAGAGTTGAGCTTTTTCTGGTTACGTTCCTTGAGACAAAAGATAATTTGACAAGGAACTATACCCTTCTCTGCACCCTTGAATTTCAAGTCAGAGTCTAGGGAGACTTGTGTCGTATACTCGTATACGTGGGCGGTAACCTCCTTCTGATTGACGATGTTCTTTGCGATGCCGTCTTGGTAAACACCCATTGCTGCGAGAGCATTGAGTGTCCGCGGGTGGACCTTTTGTCTGCCGTCCGCGATGATACATACCACGATTTTCTTCCAGCCATCTTTTCCCCAAGTTCTGGATTTGGTCCTGGAACAGAAATGAGAGATATTCCTCATAACACCGTGCATCGTGCGAGTGAAGTTGATTTCATCTTCGTTATACATTGTGATACAAACGAATAGCTCCGTCTCGCGCATGGTGGTACCAATATTTTGCCGTAGCTTATACCCACGGGGGACGAAGTCATCGGGATCGCATGTCACGGCGGTGTATCGCATATGGGTAAATTCGCGGTCATCTCGTCGAGGAAGGAAACTATGCAGGATAGTTGGGATCTTGCACTCCAAAACCAATTCACCGTTGATCAGCTTGACCTCCTTCTTCGTCATCTGTGCCTGTCTAACGCCTCTACGGTCCTGACGGCCCTCTGGAGCAGGTCCATAATGCAGATTCGGGTCGGCGTTACCTGCTATGCTCTCGTCATCGAGGTCAACTTTGCTCATGGTGTCCTTGTCGTCTGTAACCATCGTAGATTCAGTCAGATACGAGTCATACGACCTTACGCTAGCCCTTGAACCTGGCTTCGGGTCCATTGTCCTTCCATCACCTCCAAATGGATCATCGCTGGCATTGCTATTGGTCCGTTCGATATTAATTCTCGTTTCGCTGGCTGACGGTCGAGAGAATAGCGGCGCTGGAGGAAGAGGGCGTCGAGGGCTACCACCATATCGTGAGCTCGGGGTGCCCGGCCGTGACTGACCGTTGATTTCTGCAGGTTCGTACGTTACGCTTGGAGCAGATGTCGGTGGTCGCGGCCAGTCACTGTTTCGGGATGGTGTCAAGGGTCTGGTTGGCGACCCTGGCCGCTGAGCAGGCTCTCCAGAGACGCTTGGTGGTGGGATACTCGGCGCATTGCTTAAACTTGACGGTGGTCGTGATGGTGAGAATGAGGTTATCGAGTGGTTGTGATGATGGAGAGGCTGATAACGCAACGATCGAGCTGTCGATACAGAGCTTCTATGATGCGACTTGTTAGCTACTTCTTCTGGATCTGTCTCTTGTACACTGGAAAGACCTGTCTGGTCTTGTTTCGCAAGAGGTCCAGTGCGACAGATGGGATCCAGATGGATATCGGGTTTGGGCTTGACTGGCGACTTTGGCGTTGTCAGGCGAAGGGGGGCAGGAACCGTCAACGGGTCGTTGACCATCCTAAGGGTGCGAACGGTGTCTGGACCCGCAGAGCCTCTGGTATGTCGGCGCCGTACGAATTTAAATTCGTCCTTGTCATGGCCCGGATGTGTCGTGAAAACTGAAGCATTTGAGCTATCTGATATAGTTGGACACCTTCGCACCGTCGCAGGGTGTGAAGGTAGGGTGGAAGTACTTCTTGAAGTTTCCGGAGTAGCATTCTTCTGTACCGGAGGGGAGGGATCTGAGTTTGAAATGGAAGAGTGAACATTGTTTACATACAATCGGCGATGCAACGCCCCAGGCTGCGACTCTCTGAAATATGCGCCACCAACATCCGCCTCTGCGGAGTACCCGTCAACGTTGTCGTCCACGTAGCTCGACGATAGGAGCCTCATCGTCGATCCGTCGTGCCGACCGTTTTCGGAGATGGGAGCCGTCATATCATCGTTCGTGTCGTAGGTCAGGACGCTATCGTTATATCCGTACGATGGAGGATCCTCGTCATACGAAGGCGGTGGAGGAGCGCCGTTCGAACTATTCGGAGGGAACGCCATATCAAGTGTCTGCGAGTCTCTGGACAATATTCCCCAAGGATCACTTTAGATGATTGCGCTGAATGAGTCGTCGCCACACGTTTGCCCAACGGGCAAGGTGCTGCCCGCTTGAACTATAGCGTTTTCCAGTATGCAGAGCGAGTGAAACCGGTGCTGGCAACAGAGCGTTTCGCCAATTTGAAGTCGAGTTTGGGTCTTTCCAAGAGCTAACCCAATGCTAATGTTGTTCCAGGGTCATCGGATTCTTGAAAAGACGTGGCTGATTGACCAGCGCAGCCCCGAACCCTTTCCAAAGTAATGCGACACCGGCACCGTTATCGCGATTGTAGAATTCGTGTATCCTTGGCCAGGGGCCGGAACTAGACTGGGCGGAACGACTTGCTGGTATATGGCAATGGAGCACAAAGAGAACGGCAGGATATCACGGGAACTGAATGAAAGCAGGAAACCTTGAAACGAAGAAAAGCACAGCAAAAGCACGATACCATGCACGTCAGAAGAATGATAATCATGAAGCGCTTCCATGCAGCGCGACGGGGACAAGATTGCCATTTGATATCACGTGCAGATGTTTGTAAACGGTGTTGCTGCGACAACGACCAGCGCCAGCAGCTCGCCGCCAATCAGACCGCACGGCGCTCAACCGGGATCATCCTGCCCACCTGCCAACGCCCGTGTCCAGGAACGGAGGAAACATGCTGATATCCTCGTTTTTCAAAGTTCGGTCTGTTAGGGCTGGATATTTTCTGTGAATCCTGGATACATGAAGTGTTTATGTAAAGAAAAGTTCAAAAGCCGTCGGTGAGAAAGGTGTTGCAGCGTAGTACGTTTTATGGAGGAATGAGAGAATTTGATGCGGTGGTTAACTGGGTGCCATTGAATTAAACAGGATACTGACGTGTCCGTAGCATATATTGGCATAGTCCAGCTAGACATTTAGCATTCTAGTCCAGATGGAATACATTATCCTGACCTCCAACTATCATTTGTCCTCCTTAGATACGGTCATAGTCCTTGTCCCAAGCATATATAGAAGGCAGCAACTCTTCCACAGCCACCATCTTCGGCCCTTCTTTACCTATCACAATAGCCTTAATCCCAGGGTGCAAATCGGCTAGTACTTGTCGACATCTTCCGCACGGACTCAGAATCCCCCTCCCTTCATTGGCAATGGCCACGATGTGAGTTAACTTCGTGGCTCCAGCAGCCGCCGCCACCCCGAGAACAACAAGTTCTGCGCACGGACCGCCGTTGAAATGGTAGACATTGACGCCGGAGAAGACACGGCCGTCGTCAGAAATAGCGGCGCTTGCCACACTGTAGAAGTCAGAGACTGGAATGCCGTTGATGACTGATGTGGCAGTATCGATAAGATTTTGCCCAGCTGCTGAGAGTGGTTCGGGAGCCATTTTTTGACTTCTTCAAAGGTCAGCTGCATTCGATGTCTCAAGTTTCTGTACCTACTAACTTCAGGTCATTCGATCCAAATATCAGAGAAGTCCTTTGGAGAATCTGAAGGTACGCAAAAGAAGATCATCTAATGATAGTCCCTCGAGTAGCAGCACCTGCGATTGGCTTTTATATAGCCAGCAATTGCGTTTAGAGCGGGTGCTGAGAACCTGCTTCCCAAGAGCCTATGTCAACGCATGCGGCGGGAAAACCAGCAAGCGGACGGGCATGATGGGCATCATCTCGTATCAAGGTCTAGCGTAAATGAGTTCTGGCACGCATGTTACAATGAACCCGGGGTCAAGGTTGCTCATGAAGGAATACGGTTTAACTCCATTGGGACTCCGACATGCTATCTGTAGCTGACTAATCATACATTGTTCATCCTGTCCGCTTGGCTACCTTCTCTCGTCTCAACCAGGCAGTTCAGACGGCGGCTGCTCTTTCACAGCGTCATATCGCTCCGAAGCACCGTTCCTTGCACCAGTAAACGGACACGTGGCCGGCGCAGCTGGGTCCCCATCCGTCTCACTTTCCGATCCCTCACTAACAATCATTTTCTTCCCATGTAAGTAACCCTCACGTTCTATGGCGACTTCTTCCATCTGGTCCGCGAATTCGTCTCCATCTCGCACATACCATTTTGCGAAGAGATCGTTCTGTACCCAGATCACCTTCCCGATGGCGCTGACGAGCGCTATTTTGCGAGGGAGCGGAAGTCGTGGGTGGGAGAGAAGTGCTTCCGTGAGAACATTCTGAATGAAACCGAGATTCGCGCCGATGTGAACGAATTCAATGTGTAACGGATGCTTGCGACCCCGACCGACGTGCATCATGCTGCAATATGCGTCAGCTATTGAGCCCTTTCCACCAAAGTGCCCCCGGGGCAAATCGCAAATGCGGAAACAGGGCCTCTGCTTACCCGACTTTATCCAGATACTCCCAGAATTCCATCTTACTGGGATCTGAACATAATCGGTTCAAATACCCTCTTAGAAACATCTTTCGATGCAGAATCTGTGGGCTGTTTTCGTCCGGCTCTTCATCTAATGGCCCCTCAAAGCTCGTACTCCTTGTCTGGAATGCTCGCGCGGTGACATCATATTGCAAGAGCTTTTTATAAACGATATTGACAACGGCAGGGATGAGAGCTTTGATATATTTAGAGCCGGAGATCAGTGCCTCGATATCATCTATCAAATCAGGTGAGTATCAAGGTTTCCGCGGGATTGTGAGGGAGGCATACTGGAATTGAAATCAAGGAAGTTGTGAAGATATTGTATCCGCGCCTCCAGGTTTGTATATAGATCTTTGCGCTCGATGTGCTGCATCCGTCGTTGCTCGTTATTCACTGCCATGTTTCCCTCCTCCAGTACGAAAACCCGAAACTATGTGCCCGTCAACGGAGAATATTTAAATAATGCTTGAAGTCTCTCGTATATCACGATATATGAAGTCGACTGACTGTCAGCTTGGATCCACACTAAGAAGTCCCCGAACCAAGGCTTTATGGAGGACTAGTTATCCGGCACGTATAGAAATGGGGGCATGAGGAAAGCCTGACGAATTGACCCTCAATTCACGATTATATACATTTCGTGCCCTGTCGGCCCAGCTTTTCAGGCTGAGTCAATAATGTACCTTTCTCCCGGCCAGGGCTAGCCGTCATGTGCCACGTTGGGCGGGAATAGAGCTCAGCCTATTTACTCCGTAGTTCATATCGCCTTTCCCCAGTAGGGTCCTGAACTCATCGTAATTTGCCAGCCGGAGGGGAGGGCATGAAGTAGGTGGCCTGATGTTGCCGGGCTTTGAAACTGCGGTGCCGTGAGTGGACGATTCGAAGGAGCGCCCGGTTAGTCAGCGGCCACCAGTTGTGCTCCCAAATCGTTGATTGGTCAATGGAAACCCGGTCCGGCCCGAACAGCTCTTTTCGATGGTCCGATCCTCAAGCTGGACGCGATCGAAGATAAAAGCTCCTGCAGAAGAGCCAGACATATGACGTAGCGTGGGTTTCCCTTCGGCTGTCGTTACCGTGCAAGACACTGCCTGTTTTGGTAAAAGCAAAATGGGTGAAACAACTTTAAAAAGGGAGGAGGAAAAGAATGAAGTCGTGGGTCAAACCGATCCCGAAATATCAGCACCCGACCCTGTCGATTGCCTTTGTCTATTCTTCTTCTGGCTGCCAGAATTCGCGGAGGAAGTTCTGGAATTGACCAAGGGGCCAACAATAACCATCGAGACTTTCCTTTTCCCAGTTCCTCTGGGCTGCGAACTGGAAGAATTCCAGTTATGTGCACGGAGTACTCCGTAGAACAAACCACATTGTGTGTTTCTCCTGGCTACTCGGCATGCATGTCAATCATCAGGCTTAAAGAATATCTTTTCGAGCGAAGAATCCACGAATCTAAAGATTTTATCATGGCAACAATCCCCTGTCCTCTTCCACGTGAGCGTTGACACCTGCACAGCTATTCGCTCTGAGAGAAGCTATGCGGAGCTGATCTCCCTGCCGTCAGAGCTTTCCCTAATTCCCGACTCGACAGCGTCAGAATCCGAAATAAATGTTCAAACTGGAAGTCAGAATAATACTCAGGTCACTTGAGGCGGCACATTAAGAATCGAGGAGACAATCCGGATGAAGGGAGCGGTCAAGTCTTGCGGAAGCTCTGAATGCCTTTACCAGTTATCATATTTACTGTTCCCCTTTCGTGATATTTCAGTTGACTTTAGGTCGTTTGTCTCCCATGGGCTACCCGGTAGTTAGCAGTGGATCTTCATCCAACGGCAGAGAAAGCTAGCGGAATGACATCATTCTCCAATGCTGCCAAGTTGAGCTCCCGCTCAAAACCCGCATCGAGAAGCATTACGCTCGCACCCGAAATACCCACAAACCAAGAGGAGATATGAGAGAACAAAAAGCTATTTGGATTAAGTAATGGAGACTAGCCAAACCGCATCTGAACGACAAAGGAGCATATCATTATAAGGGAAAGCCAAGGGCCTCAAATTACCAAGTTAAGAGGACCCAACACATGAGAGCTAATAGGTGGGATACCACACATTTCCTTTTCCAATTTTTTTTTTTTTCCAAATTGCAATATGAAGCACGATATTCTGCTCTGACTTTAGCTAGGAATAACTTTAGCAATTTCTGAGAAAGACACAGATACAGAACTAAAAACTTCACCATGTTACTGAGGCATAAGCTGGAAACAACGGCATGAAAAATTACCATTGTGGACTTCTCGGGATCCCGTTTCCGTAATGTTAGTGGCCACTTTAGTAAGGTGGACCTAGCCCTCTTTACGCATTGCTGAGCAAGGGCTCGCGTTCACGGTCGCCGGCTTCGGGCTCGACCAGACTTCTGAGGAAGAAGTCTCGCTTGTAGTATCTGGTAGTTGAGCTGTACAATGATGATACCAGGAAGATGCCAAAGATTATGAAGGCGAAGATCCACTGTAAGGAGATGATCTTCAAGGAGAACTGCTTGAGAGCAAGTGCTGGATTGGGAATTGATTAGCTGGAGCGTCAAATAATAACGCACCGTGCATGTTAAAGGGTCATGAAAATTTGAATTTGCTTACACAAAGTCAGAAGACTGAGTGAGTAGCCGAGCGAACGATCATTCCGGCGTGCAATGTGGGCCTGTCCAAAGAGGAACATGACCCAGATGAACACATTGGCAACTATCCTCTTTGGAAGGCTGTAACCGCCCACGGCAACCGCTCCATTCCAGAAGAGAGTCGTGATGGACCAAGCATAGGGTCCCGCCACTGCTGGAAGGTGGATATATTCGGGAAGACCTGGGTATCTCCAGTATAGCGTGCCCTGGTTGAGCAACGAGACAATGTCGAAGACTTCGGCACCCCAGAAATGGGAGCGAACCCAAAGGAGAATGAAAGAGAGTATGAAGAGATTGTTTAGGATGAAGTGCGGCGCCACATTGGCAGCCGCCGTCAATCTCTCGGGATTTGAGGACCAGAGTTGCCCCATATATCCGAGCTGAGAAACAAGGAGAATAACCCTGGCGGGTCAAGTTAGCTTAAAGGGGACTTCAGTGGAGAAATCGCATTCTCGCCCCGCAGGTCAATTGACCCTATCAACAAAAAGACTACCACATCTCCTGGAAAATCAAGGACGGTCAATAAACACGCTTCATCTTACCAGTAGATGATGGTGATTGTCTTGGTCTGCGAAAAGGGTGTGGGATTGATCTCGGCTTGATTCCCTATAGTAGAGCCTGATGGAACATCATCAGGGCCGCGTACCGAGTAATAGATGCCGAAGACCACTACGAGGAGCCAAGACAGAGGCGTCAATACCCGATACGTGTTCACGGTCTTTGGACCGTGAGACGATCGCCTGGAAAATGGGTTGTCTGAAGAGCATAGGAGACGATGATATCATTGTTAGTAAATCAGAGGCTCCGATAAGGCATTCGCATCAGTGAAAGGGTACAGGACTGGAGCAAAGAAAACAGAAAATACTGACAGGAGCCTGTTCTATCAGCCATGATTTCTTCAACGGGGTTGGGAAACGTAGTAGTGACAACGCAAGTCTGATTCGATGAAGGAATTCCGTCTGGACCCTGCCTGTAAAAGCGGCAGGAGAGAATCTTTCAAGGAACAAAAGAAGGACGGTTCAGCACCCCGGTGAGATTTTGATAAGAAGGTATAACCCAGGATGCCTGGGTTTCGTGGAACAAACCACTCTGATATTGGGTTGGGAAAAGATCGGGTTCGGGCCCGTTGAGATCAGTGGTTCCCCGCACTTTTTGTTTTTATTTTTATTTTTATTTTTTTTCCCTTGACTCGTAACGAAGTAACTACCGCTGAGATTCCTGGGCGGAGACTTGCTTTTCCCGTGGTTGTTCCGCAGCGCTTCGATGGTGGTATTAGCCTGGCAAGAGATATATTTACTGATGGCGGCAAAGACGGGTTGACGGAGGGGCAGAGATCGGATCAGATGTTGTGGACTAAACCTTGTTTGGAGGGTCTCGTGGACATCACCGCAGATCTCTCGCAACGGATCAATTCCCCCGAGTCACGCACTCAGAAACGTGATTGCTAATGTGTCGGTCGAGGGCGACAGCCATGCCTCCTTGTCCGACAAAATCGACGACGCCCCGGGCGATTGAACTCTGGCGCTCCAGCAGCATCTCGTGTCCGAGCGGGTTACGTGGACTCCGGGGGCCCAGGTACCTTAGCATACTCCATTCTTGAGGTACCTCCACGCTCCCGGACTGTGGAGGGGAACATCGCACGCGGGCCAATGGGCGTCGGGGAACCGCCTGGGGTGGAAATTGCGGGGGATTGGCTTGGCGGTGCCGGGGGGCGGCGGCTTGGCGTTTTTTTCCCGCCAGGCGACGGTATCCTTCTCCAGGCACTGAGCGCAGAGGGTCGGCCAGGCTGGAGCAGAAACTTCCTGTTCAACACACCAACCGCTCTGCGACGATCTGTCGTTGTTGAATCTGTCTCGCACGGGCGGTTCATTCGGACAGGGCCGGCTGCAGCGATGATATCATCCGGATAAGAACGGGCCTTACCCAGCCAAACCGCGAGATTGGACGCCGAGTTTCTCCAGTTCTTCTGGAAAAAGATACGATGACAGGGGTACAAAGTTGAGTTGGGCACGAAGTTTGAAGCTTCCCAGCAAATGCGGATGTTCCTCCTCGGCATACCGCGGATCTTGTGTCAGCAGCATGGGGTTGTTCACCCCTTCCATTAAACAAATCATTGTCGCTGTGATGGCGGCTCTGTACTCGGTTGATAACCAAATTCTTCCGATCATGGCTATGATTATTATTGCTCCTGTCGATATCTGCACTGTCAGCTTTCCTGGGGCGCTCCAGCTTCGGGTTTTAGCGCAGTCCCACACAGGCTGATAACCCTTCTCGAAGGACCTGTGGTCCTGTGGAAGGATCGGTCAGGGTGATGGATCGACATCTGCTACCCGCAGATCAATGCGAGGTTTTGTGGGAGTGCGCGCTAAAGGCTTTCATCGATCCTGCGAACAGCACGACGGTCCAAAATGATCGGTTTTGTCCAACATGATGCAGAACCACAGGCACACCAGAGCCTTCGGAGTCTTGATGTGGTACTCCACAAATGCGTGTCACGAACAGATTTGGTTTATTTTTTTTATTTTTTCTGAATAACAAAACAATCATCGCTCTTCCCCGGGTCATGGGGATGCTGAATATTCGCAGACACATATGGTACTTCGAAGTTCCCGGAACTCAACCGCTGATGAAACACCCTTCGGTTTCGGGGCACACGTCCTTCGTCTTCATGTGGATCACAACCCCATATCACACAAAGGCCGGGAAATACCTGTCAGGGCGCACCTCTCAACCTTCCTATTAGTTCATAGGGTTGTGTGATGTCTCAAAACGCGAAACGACAAAAAATCCTTCTGTCCCAATTGCTGGAATAAGGGTACCAAAGTGCACCTTGCCGGAGACTATCCATTGGTTAATGCTGCTGATGTGATTTTTTTCTCTTCCTTTTTTTTTTTTTTTTTTTTTTTTTTGTGTTTTGTGTCAAAACCATGGATTTGGAAGAACAAATTGAAAGGCTGAAAAGCCCCTTTCCCCTGACACCCTCCCAACAACGGGAGGTGGCTTGCACGCCAATCAGTGCCTATTTAGCTGAAGATCATAAATACCATCCTTGCGGAAGTACCAGGCCCATGATTATCAACACCCTTTTAGGGGTGGGACCCCATCTCCAGGTCAGTTCCCCATTATCAAGTGGGTTTCGGTTACTTGCAGGATTGCGACCTTCCCTAGGATGTCAGCCTGGCCAATATGCTCAGGGTCAATCCCTCCGGCAATTCTTTACAAGGCATGTGCTGCCATCACAGTCGCCCATTACTGCAGGCCGTAATAACCCGCTTCTTTCCCTCCTTCGTTTCAGCTGACGAGTATTTAAATCTCGGATCTGAGCCCGATTCTGAGTCTTTTCGTCCCAGGTCACCTCCCGTTTTGGAAGAAACAACTGATTTAAGCCTACATATCCCAAGGCCTAGCAGATTGTCGCCTCCGATCACGCCAACATGAAGTTTGCCTCTTTCCTTGCACTTGGTACCACTGCTTTGGCAGCCTCCATTCCTCCTCAACATAAGGGCAAGTCCTTGATTGAACTTGCTCATGGAGAGACAAGATGGGTCACAAACGCCGAGAAGTTTGAACTGAAGGCTGTATGTCCCACCTAATTTTATATTTACATCGGCGGTCAAACAGAGGCTGTTTTCCTCATCTTGCTAACCATAATATCATCTTCCAGGTGGGCAAAGACTTCATCGATATCACCCATGAACTCGAGCGGAACATTGACCTAAACAGCTTTCGCCCTCTCTCCCGCCCCAACTACCCAAAGGTGATGGCACAGCAGGACAAAGTTAAGCCAATGCTTGCCACGCTTACCACGGAGAATCTGGAACGGGATCTCACCACATTGAGCGAATTCCACAACCGATACTACCAATCCGAGACCGGTGTGCAATCGGCAACCTGGATCATGGAGCAGGTTCAAGCGGCCGTTGGTGATGTCCAGGGAGTCAGGGTCGAGAGATTCGATCATAGATTCAGTCAATTCAGCGTCATCGCCACCATTCCAGGCCGTTCGAACAACACCGTTGTTGTGGGTGCTCACCAGGACAGCATCAATCAGCAGCAACGAGAGACAGGACGCGCCCCCGGTGCTGATGACAACGGCAGTGGCTCCGTTACCATCTTGGAGGCCCTGCGTAAGGTTTTGGAGAACGAGGACGTCGCTTCCGGCAATGCGCCCAACAGCATGGAATTCCACTGGTATGCCGGTGAAGAACTTGGCTTGCTCGGCTCCGCCGACATCTTTGCCCAATACGCTCAACAACGCCGACAGATCAAGGCCATGTTGAACCAGGATATGACCGGCTATGTCAGAGAAGGAACACGCGAGGAATTCGGTATCATCACCGACAACGTCGACGCCGAGTTGACCGACTTCGCCCGCAACGTTGTCAGCGAGGTGAGCAATTCTTCCTGTTTCGTGTTGAAGAGTCAACGCAGCTAACCAGCTTTCCACCATAGTACTCCGACCTCCCAACCTCCGACACCCGCTGTGGCTACGCCTGCTCCGACCACGCCTCCGCCAATCGATACAACTTCCCCGCCGCTATGGTCGCTGAGAGCACCATCGATAACTTGAGACCAAGCATCCACACTGCCAACGATGTCATCGAGGGCCTCAACTTCAACCACATGGCCGAGCACGTCAAGGTGGTTGTTGGCTTCATGACTGAACTTGCCTTCCAGGAAGGTTTGTAAACACTTTAACCATCTCTATCGCGACATCTACCCCCCTCCAACCCGCCCTTACGTATATTTCGCGGTGATACCCTTCTTGGGCATGGTTTCAGGGGCCCACCGGTCCCAAAGCTAGGCTCGTCCGCACTCTTTTGGCACTTGCTTTGAGCTTGGATGTAGTTACATGGCAAGAGTACATATCTATTTATGAATGTATATATGGGAATGAGTACCAAAAATGAAGGGTGGCAGTGACGGCTGCCCCTTGGCTATCAAATCACACCTGGAGTATTAACTAGTTAAGTATTGTAGTTAAAAGCTGTGATCTCGCTTGCATATTTCAACCACCAGTCAGGTTATTTGCGCGCCGTCACACACCGCCGTGTAGTTAGCTAAACTCCCTGGGTTAACTACTTGGTTTGTTAAGTAGGCAATCAATGTACTACGTAGAGGGATTTTATTCCCGACGACTCACTCTGTAATCCCAACTGCTGGTCATATCACCCAATCAACCAGCCGCCAAAACACGCTCCAGAACCAGCGACAGCTCTTCAGCTCATTGTCTATCTCGTTGACTGCAGACTTTTCTCATCAGAGAATTCGGTCTAGTCGCTTGGCAAGCAAGCAGGTCTCGTGGTCTAGTGGTATGATTCTCGCTTTGGGCTCAACTCAAAGCTGCGAGAGGCCCCGCGTTCGAATCGCGGCGGGACCCAGTTACATTGCGTTTTTTTGACGCCTCCCGGTTTCATTCTCGTTTTTAGAGTGTACTACTGTAGCGCCATTATTGCTTTTTTGTTATTTTTATTCCCTGGTACCAAATTCCCCTGTAAGAGGTAGGGATGCTCCTTATGCTTAGCTGTGCGGTGTGGTCAATGGGGATGTTGGGCCGGGGAGGTTGGCGTTCATGCATGAGATTCGCAGGGGGAGCCAGTGCAGCCCCTTAGCTAGTTAACTACCTAGCTTGCCCCCCTCCCTGCCAAAGGATCTGGAATCTCTAACCCCAAACTCCCTCAGGCTGCACAAGCTGGCTTCAACTCACAACCTCAGGCCACCATGCAAGGACAGCATTCGCCATCTAGGATACATCTAGTTGCTGTCTGAGCTGGAAGAGCTACACTGGGCCATAAGTTAACTGTCCCGTGAGAGAAGATGGACGGGCGGAAACCCCCGCCTGCAATGGCGCCCAAACAGCACGCTGGATCGTCAGGGCGACAGAGCACTCTCACAACAAACAATGAGCGTGAGCAGCTGGTGAGCTCCTTCAATCAGCTCTCGTTGGCTCCTCAGGCTGCTTTGCCCCGTCAGTCCCCCTCGCGAACCTCTTCCCAATCCTATCGAACCCTCGACAAGCCCCAGCAGGCGCAACATGATCCTCTCGCGCACCGTTCTCCCGTTCCTCGAAGAACACCCAGCATTAACTCTTTGAGGGAAGACCGTCGGTCCTCCACCCCGTCTTTGAAGAAACGCTTGTCTACCGCTTCGCTCCGCTCCGTTCAGAACTCCAACGGCGTTGGCTCTCCGCGCCCCAGCACCTCGAGACGCGCGTCCCACCAATTCCTATCGACGCCAGGATCGATGATGCGACCAATATCCCCTTCCGTCATGTCGGAATGTCCTTCACCTCCTCCCCTGCCCACCGCCTCATCCATCGCTGCGGAGCATTTCGAGAAAGAGCTTGCACTTCACCAGTCCACAGACCTACGATCAAAGACGGTCGTGATCCTTCAAGATGCTTGTTATGGACATAGATATTCACGCCCAAGGACTTCTAAAGCGGGGTTAGAATCCATAGTGGAGCGCCCGGAACGTCTACGCGCAGGGATCTTGGGTGTCGCGTCTGCGTACGTTCGGATGGGGAAAAGATGGGGGAATCATCGCTGTGCACCTCACCCCGACCTAGACCTAAGTTCGTTACCGGTGCCCCCGTTTCAGATTCTGAAAACGACGAGAACTTTACCGTTAAACTCTCCAGCGATCACACATGTCCATGGGGCAAAGTGGATGGGAGAACTGAAAATGATGTGTGACGCGGCGGAATCGCGCTTGGCGCTGAATGGCAAGGAGCTTGTTCGTCCAAACAGTTCAGGCAGTGATAGCTCTGGTTCCGTGCCGAAACTTCATGAAGGTGATTTATATCTCTGTCCGGAGTCTTTAAATGCGTTTGAAGGTGCATTGGGAGGCGTGTGTGAGGCGATTGATACCGTTTTTGAGTCGGATGCCACACGTCGAGCTTTTGTATGCATTCGTCCCCCCGGGCACCACTGTTCCTCAAATTTTCCTTCTGGATTTTGCTGGCTGAATAATGTACATGTCGGCATCGCGCACGCTGCAATGACCCACGGTCTTACACATGCCGCGATTATTGACTTTGACTTGCATCATGGCGATGGCTCTCAGGCTATTGCTTGGGAACAGAATCAAAGGGCCATATCAGCATCCAGGAATGCGCCACTGCATAAAAAGACCAGGATCGGATATTTCAGTTTGCACGATATCAACTCATATCCGTGCGAAAGTGGCGATGAAGCTAAAGTCATGAGCGCCAGCGTCTGCATTGACAATGCTCATGGACAGTCCGTTTGGAATGTGCACCTTGAACCATGGAAGGACGCCATGGAGTTCTGGCAGCTCTACAATACGAAATACGCGGTCCTTCTAGATAAGGCTCGCTGTTTCTTGCGGTCATGCTCCCAACAGTTGCGCGACTCGCCAAATTCTACACACCCAAAAGCTGCGATTTTCCTCTCTGCGGGATTCGACGCTAGTGAATGGGAAGGGATCGGCATGCAGAGGCATAAAGTCAACGTTCCGACGGACTTCTACGCTAAATTTACGTCAGATATCAACCGACTCGCCGAAGAAGAAGATCTAGCCGTGGATGGAAGGATTATTAGTGTCCTTGAAGGAGGATATAGTGATCGAGCGCTAACTAGCGGTATTTTCAGCCACCTCTCAGCGCTTGCTGATACTCGAAATGTTGTTGTCGACGATATGGATGCGCAAAGCCGCCTCGCTTCTGAAATGTTCAGTCGCCTTAACCTGAGTGATAAGGCTAGCAATGCTCCAAGTTGTGACTCAACTGAGGAACCCATACTTTTTGATACTATATGGTGGACTGGACCTATGTTGGAAGAACTTGAGATAATTGCACAGAAACCGCCTCCGGCGCCTATTCGTAAGCTCCGTGAAAAGGGTCAGCCAAGCTTTTTGGCACACACCCAGGCATCCGCTGCGAAAGCCGTCACCCCAGTCAGGGAACGTGGTGTTTTGTTTTCACACCATGCTACTCTGGATGAGCCGTTCTCCCTTCCAGAAGTCGACTGGGCCCTGGCAGCGGTTGAACTGTCGAAGGCCATCATACCTACTGATAGGCAAACTTCGAGCTTAAAGCACGCTGATTTGAAGGGAGAGAACGCAAGGTCCAAACGAGAGCGCCATTCGCTGACAGGATCTACTGACCTTGAAAGTGTTTCTGAACGCGGGCATATGCAACTTCGGGAAAGAAAGCCTAAAGCACCGGTCATCCCAGAGCTGCAGCCCGGAAATTCAAGATCATCATCTCGCAGTACTCGTCGGACCACCATTGCATCATCCAGTGATCTGGCTGATGGTGCTCTTCCTGAAACACCAATTGAGTCCCTTGATCAGACTCAGGTGGTGGTGCCACAGCATTCACGAAAACTTAGCGTCACTTCGAGCGTGGCATCGGTGGGCAGTGCAGCTCCTAGGAATATCTCTCTGCGCAAACCTCGTGAAGCTTCCAGCCGTCCAGTTAGCCGGGCACAAGCAAGTACTAGGCCTGCGACATCTATGGGGATAAATGTGCAAAAGCAGAGAGCTGTGGGAGTGGGTGATCGATCAGGATCCAGGAAATCCACTCCGCTCGACACCACCTCCGCACAATCCCAGCACGGAGATGTCGACCACCTTTCCAATGGCGTGAAAAAATTAAGCCTTAAACTGAAAGTTCCGACTCCCGAAGAGCATGCTGCGAGGGAAGCTGCAAGAATTGCCGAAGAACGGAATAGAAATATGTCAAAGACAGCTAAGAAGACCCCTGCCGCAAAGCCGACGAAGCAGATCGCAGGAAAGTCTACATCGAAAACTTCGCGTAATGCGACTATTTCAGAAGCTCCGAGAGCTGAGTCTGACACCGCCGACCCACGTATGATTCCTCTTCCCTCAGAATCAACCCCAGTCTCGTCTACCGAGCACTCACTCGCAATCTCTGCAGGTCGCGAACAGCACCAAACTACCGACCACCCGTCTTTTCCTTCTCCGCCCCTTACACCATTGTCACCCTGCGCCAGACCCCAAACCACAGTCAAGTCGGCCCCTCCAAAAGCTTACACAAAGGAAGACCTTCCTGTTTTCACCTCGACTTCTGTCATTCCCTTTGGCCCTTCCCGCGATAGCAATACCGGTTCATAGTTGATATACCATTCGAACGAATCCATTGTCTAGTTAGTGTGCTTCCCTTTGGACTGATCCTTACGCTTTATTTTCTTTTCGCCCTTTTTAATCACCCACATATCTATTCCTTTCGTTCCATACCCCAGCGTAGTCTGTTGGGACATTAGTTTCTGGTGTTGGCGTTGCATATTACCCACACTGTCTATCCATATACCCTATATCTTCTTTATTCCTGTTTTTGTCTTCAATCCACTAGTTTATTCACAATTACATTGAGTATTAGTATGTATTTAATCTTCTTGTGTGAATTTGATAACCCTGTTGCAGAGAGTAGGAACAAGGAAAACAAACACCCTTTACCTTCTGGTTAGTCAAGTAATAATCTTCAATCAAGGTAGTGTCGCAAAAAAGGGCCAGTAACATCGGGAAAAAAGGCACAGTCTAACAGTGACATTTTAGCAAGGCCTCCCGTCTACTCCACCATCTACATGCTAAAAGGAAGGCTGTGAGATGATGGCATTGAAATAATAGTGGCGAGGTGCTGACTTCTTCCGATCCTAAAAGCAAGCATTGATAACCTCGAAAAGCCTTTGGAAGAAAGCTGTAACTGCACAGGGGATACCTTATGTTAGTCTTTGTTTTATCCCTTGACTACTAGAATGCATTCCTTAGGATGGGTTGTGCTCTAAGAAATATTATGTGTATACACAATGGCCCGGGCGGCCATTTCACTTTGAATTCTTGCTTTTGCTGCTGCTATCAAGAGGCATTTATTAGCTATGTTATGTGGTTTGGAAAAGCTATATATAACTATTGAAGAGCGCAATATGCACTTCTGTAGGTATTTCTTTTGTTAGTATGCTTGTCTCTTCTGTTCTCTTTCCACTACCAGCACACAGCTCCACATGCTAGATTCCAATTCCTAAGGTCACTTGTATCGTTGTTCTTCTTACTTAGGCTCTTTTGCGATGACGGATCACAGGTCACCCATCTGCTCTCCATTATATACGGAGTATAGTAGAGCTAGATCCCGCTGTTTAGATTCTTGGAGCCACACTCGTCTATACACTTCATTCGCTTCACGAGCTCGATACAGGGATCATACCATTAGCTCCAGGAGTAAGTTCATCAGAGCTCCTTGGGCGGACCAAGATAAGAAAGTCATCCCACAGCGCAACGATCCCCGTGACAAGCGGGATCAACTGACCAGGCGACGTCAAGTCTGAAATCGGGCTTAGATCGTTCCAATGGATAGTGAGCTCGACTGTGGTTATGAAAAACAAGACTGAGAAGATGGAGACCAAGCTGCGGATCGCAGAATTATGAAAGCGTTGAATGAGCGTTTTTATCATCTCAACCTCTTGTGGGTTGAGTGTTGAAGTATCCACCCCATGGGCGAAGGCATAGGATGCTATCGTGGTCACAAAGGGGACTGCAGACTTTTTCTCGTCCTCAGTCAGTGGTCGCCCTCCATCTCGGTATGAAGCGAAGGTTGTCCGTAGTGCCCTTATGCTAAAATATAGGAAGAAAAGCATGGTAAAACAGGTGAGAGAAAAGACGACGAGTCCGAGCGTCCTAAACCATCCTTGCAGAGATACTTTGGCGAAAAAAAACGTCACGTTCTTCGTCCCCAGTGTTGGCAGCGTAACAGAGAGGCGTACAAAAAACCAGCCGTATGCAGTAGTCACCCACGTTTCCGCAAATAGCACCAGAAATATCCCCACGCCTTCACCGGGTGAGACATCTTCGGTCATAAATGCAATGCGGCCGGGTAGCGTCATCGTGGACAGGAGTAAAAGGACAATGTATGCTTCGCAGGAACTCAGTGCCTGTCTCGCTGCAAGGACAGTCCATGACACGAGGAGCGAGAGCGAGATGCTTCCACTAGCAAACTTGAGACCCGCGGCGGACTTTCGGCTTCGGGCTATATGTAGTAAGAGGCCAATTCCTTGAAAGTAGAATCCGAGGCGTACGCCGATACCGTAGAGCTCTTGGGCCGCGGTTTCGCTGCCAATGAAGCTTTTGTCTTGCGGCGTTATCGGCATCGCTAACTGTCAATGTAGAAGTGGCGCGGGCAGATAGCTTGAAACACAGCCTATTTACCTGGACTGAGTAGAAAAGGTGCTCTGTCAAGAGAGACGAAGCGGGCGCCATGGGCTTTTCTAAGCAGCCAAACCTTGACATTGCCAGCCTTGCGTGCACAAGGCTGCAAGATGCATACATTTAACCCCGGTCTATGGAGCAAATGGTGTGGTTAGACCTGGTTAACCCAGCGACTTCGGCGCGGGGTTGAAGTAATGTGGCATCCCAAGAGACCAGTAAGATCTTGGGTGAGAACTCGACCTTGGGTTTCCCCCACTGTACTGTGAATCTTGCCCTTGTAGGCCATGTTTTTCCTCCTCATATATATATGTATATGTATATATATATATTCCTTCGAAGCTGGCAGGGTCAAGGAGCAAGGGCTGATACGTGTGGATTGTGATAAGTGCTTTTTTGCTGTCCAATGACTAAGCACCCGGGATGGGGAACATATATAGTCCGGTATCCCCGTGCGCTAGATGTGGCTGGAACATTCCCTGTGGCTCCACAACCACCAGCCCCATCCTTGGTGCTTACTAAGCTATGTTCTCTCCGCCGTCGCTCGAATGACGAAGTGCGCTGGTAGCCTGCGAGTGTCCGAACAGCACGACATCGGGACAGCGAACGGCGAAGAAACTTTCTCTCAGTGTCCTTTCTTGATGATTGATGATTGATAATCGCTCATTTGTAATTATCCTACCACTCTTTTAGCCTTTGAACAATTTTCAAGTGAAATATCCTTCTCGTCGCCATGCCACCTTTTCCATCACCTGCGACAGGCCAGCAGCGAGAGTCCTACACGCAAATGGGTCCAGAGCACGACCTCGAATCGATAGGCAAACACTGCCAGTTCGAATACTGTCACCAACTTGATTTCCTCCCATTCCGGTGCGAATCATGCAAGAAGACGTACTGTCTCGACCATCGGACCGAAACGGCGCACAAGTGCCCCAACGCCGGAGAATGGGCTGCGGCGCGAAGGAGGAAAGAAGCCAGTGCCACGAGTAACAATAACAATAATAACCGTATGCTCTCGCCGTCGACACTGCTGCCCAACTCTAAACCGACGATCTATAACTCGGCGCAGTGTTCCCACCCGAAGTGCAAGACGCTTATCCACACGCTTCAGAATCCCGGCGTACATTGCCAGAATTGCAATAGGCATTATTGCTTGTCACATCGGTTGCGCGAAGACCATGATTGTACGAAGCTAATCCCTCTCGGAGCGAGGCCGGTGGGAGGGAAATCTGTGGCGCAGACAAACGTAGACAAAGCGCGTTCCGCATTTTCCAAGTTGCGCGCTTGGGGGAAAGACAAGTCGTCGAGCGTCACGGCGAATCTAGCACCGAAGCCCAAGCCACCAAGCAGCGCAGCCACGCGGATAGCGAACCTAAATGCGCTGAAGAGATCAGCGAAAGGCGACTCGAACCTCGATGTATCGAAGCGGTTTTATCTCCATGTCGAGGCGTCGGCGGATACGACGAAGTCGAAATTTCCCTCCGGGGACTTTTACTTTGATTCGTCATGGAGTGTGGGGCGGGTATTGGACGATGCTGCAAAGAGATTACAGGTGCAGAATGTGAATAATCGTGTGGAAGGGGAGGATGAAAGATTGAGGGTATTTCATGTTGAAGGGGGAAGGCTTTTGGATTTCTCAGAGAAAATTGGGAACTGCAAGGTTGCGCAAGGTGACACAATAGTCTTATTGAGGGGCGTGGGACCACCGATACCCGATTTGATCGAGGCATGATCTCTTCCGTGTATGGCCTAATCTTGAAATTTCTTCATTTGGGCGTTATTTTCGTGAGCAAGTCTTCTGGGTTACATTAGATATCTATCTTACAAGAGCATGGGACTTCTGGGCGCATTTGACGGGATAAGAATAACAATTTTGCCTTGATATTTGGCCAAATTTCAATATATTGACGACAGTTTAATGAAAACCGTTTCTATTCATTGCGTATAGTTCGTATAAGCAAAAAGGGGCAATGCGGGTATAAATGCAGTCCGAAACGTCCCAAAACGTTTGGAAACAAGAAACTGTCGCAGTTACACGCTCATCTTCATTTTAATCATCTTATGCGGCTTGTACCCAATTACCTCAAAATCGCCCTCTGCCCATCCGTCCATATCCCCACTGCCGCGATCCGTTCGATTGATCCTCAGCTCCGGGAACGTTGTAGGTTCCCGTGTCAACTGCTCCTGCAAGGCTGCGATATGGTCCAGGTACACATGCGCGTCGCCCATAGTATGAATCAGGGTACCAGGATATAAGTCGGCGGCGTGAGCAAGCATATGTGTAAGGAGAGCGTATGAGGCGATGTTAAACGGTACCCCAAGGCCCATATCGCACGATCGTTGGTAGAGAAGACAATTCAAGGTGCCTTTTTGCTTTTTATCCGCATCTTCATTCGTTCCATTCTCCATCTCCGGCAATGCTGCGTTGCAGAAAGATACATAAAACTGCGCGAACATATGACACGGCGGCAGCGCCATCTTCTTCAGATCCGCCGGGTTCCATGCACTCAGAATAATCCGTCGGTCGTACGGATTCTCCTTCAATTTTCGAACCACCTCTGCAATCTGGTCCACCCCCTTGCCGCTATAATCTGCCTTCGCATCCACGTACTCTGCACCAAAATGGCGCCATTGAAACCCGTATACAGGGCCCAAGTCACCAACTTCACGATGCGAGAGACCAACGGAGTCAAGGAACTCTCGACTCCCATTTCCATCCCAGATTTTTACGCCTGCTTCACTAAGAGTAAGCGAAGAAGTGCAGCCCGAGATGAACCAGAGCAATTCTAGGATTACGGCGCGAAGGAAGACGCGTTTGGTGGTGAGGAGAGGTAGAATAGGGATTGGAGTGGATGACGGCGTAGGACCGGGTTTGGAGAGGGAGAATCGAAGCTGTGGAGGAGCGAAGATGGCACATGTACCTGTTCCTGTACGGTCGGGTCTGTGTTCGCCTGTTGCGAGTATGGTGCGGATAAGATTAAGGTATTGATGCTCTTCATGAGTGGGATCATGGGCCGGGTTGGGCGACGGTGAAGGGAATGGGGCGGAGGGTGTTGTCGGCGCTTGAAGTGCCTGAACATGGTCAACAGGTGTATTTGAGGCCATATCTGGACATTAAGAACCTGTTGCTTCCGCAGCGTTTTGTGTGAATGGAGTAATTGAAGACGAAAAGATGCAGCTGCGGTGGTTATCTTATCGGCGTCGCGTCGAGCCACGACGCGAAAATAAGGTTTGTCACGCGGCAACTCTAAAACTACTTTAAGCCCACGAGATTCTCGAGATACTGGACTCTGCAGCAGAACATACTATCGGTCGGACAAATCATTTAAGGAGCTATCTCTGTGGAGCACACCGGGTAGCTGAAGGTGAACCTGAATATGTTTGCATACAAAACAATTCGCAACAATGCACAACCAACACAATCCAAATGCAAGGCATGTTGCAAAGCAGAGGATATCAAAGTATAAAGTCACCCTCTACAGGGTCCCATCGCATTCCCCGCCTTTCCTGGCTAATACTTAATCTACCATCAAGTCTACACCAACTTTCTGTAGCGCATTGACCACCCAGTCAGGATAGTCTGAACGGTTGCTATATAGTTTTCCGAAAAACTCGCGGCAAAAGGCCGGATATCGATCGTCAATGATTGCCTGTCTTGCGGAGTTCATCAAAGAAAGGAGGTAATGAACATTATGCATGGTCAGCCTAGTATGTATGTTAGCTGCCGCTATCTTGGGCTCGCACTCAAGGATGTTCGAAGGAACTCACAAATGCGCACCCGCTGTTTCCTTCGATGCCAAATGGTGAATAAACGCGCGCGTCACACCGAGCCCGCCTTCGGATTTCGGTCTGCATGTAGTGCACTTGCACCCTTCCTCAACTGGTCTATAATCGTTTGCAAACGAGGCATGTCGAAGGCTCAAAGTACCTGAAGATGTCACGGCATTTCCAAATCGCTGTTGAAATTAGTTTCAGGAATGATGCATGTGGATCAGTCACATTACTCACAGCCGTTCGAGTAGGCCAAACGCAATCAAACATATCTGCACCCAATGCGACCGCTACGACTAGATCTTCCGGGTATCCCTTTAACGCCGTTAGTCTGACGAAGAGTACCCAGGCCTCCGGTGGATGCTCACCACGCCCATGACATATCTTGGTTTATTCTCAGGTAATAGCTCTGTGCATGTATCAACTCTTAAATACAGACGTTAGCACGAAACACTCTGCCTTTAATGAGGGAAATCATTACTTACACTTTACAGAATTCATCTTTCGCTTCACCTCCCGACAACCCACCAATGGCAATACCTGGAGTATCCCTCTCGACCATTTGTTTGCAGCACTCTTTGCGCATCTCCAAATCAAGACCACCTTGTATGATACAAAATAAGTTTTGTCTTTCAGGGTATTTGTGCGCATCAATGCATCGATCTAGCCAGCGTACCGAACGCTCCATTGCTTCTTTCATACGGGCGTGATCGGGGGACGTAGTAGCGATGACATCGTCAAGTTGCATAATAATATCTGATCCTATAGAATTCTGTAGTGATATCGAGTGTTCCGGAGTAAGAAGCCTTCACCAAATCAGCCATGTATCTCGAGGAAAGGAAGAGGGGTCCACGGAACACGCACATCGGCGTCCCATCATGCGGACTTAAAAATCGAACTCCATCCTCCGTAACCCTAGCAAGTTTCAATAATGACACCATCTGGAACCTGTTAGATCAGGAAATAATGACAAAAATCTTCCCCATTAGCAACGAAACAATATCACCGCAAAATAGCCTAGCTCTATCTGGGAATTCCAGCCCAGAAGAGGAGCTTCTCAAATGGCAGGCTGGTGTGTAACTCACCCACCACTATCCGTCAATATATTCCTATCCCATCCCTGAAATTTATGCGCGCCGCCTACCGCATCTAGCACTTCCTGGCCTGGCTTTAACCCCAAATGATATGTGTTGTTCAAGCATAACATGCATCCAGTTTGCTTCAGCTGATCCGGCGTGAGTCCTTTAAGGGACGCTTGTGTCGCAACGGGCATGAATATGGGTAATTGGACGGGACCGTGGGGTAGTATGAGGGTGCTGGCGCGGGCTTTGGTTGTCTACATAATTTGGCACGTTAGCCATGGTAGTACGACGTAGAAGGTCTGACGTACTGAGCATCTAGCTTCAAGATCAAATGTTAGGGCAGAGGGCATTGGTTTCCGTGGTGAGTAGCTCATGCTGACTGACGGAGCACGCGATGCTGCTTCTTCGGCGGGCATGGCTGCGGAGTAATGAATAAATTTGCCGATGCTTTTGAGTTGCTGTGAAGTAGGGTATAGGGTAGAGCGTGGAACAATTAAACTGCGGAAAAGGTATTTCATCTCATTATTTTATCGAGTCCTAATTTGTGCTATTCTTTTCAGTGTTGAGATGAATCAAATGCGGCGATGTTATCTAGTGAAAGCTGTGATCAAAGGACCCGCAAAAGTCACTGAGCGCCGAAACTCTCTTTTCGATTGTCTCGGTATTAAATGCTAGCAGCATCAAGAAAACCATGCTTCACATTTATCCTGGTCATGATTCCAAAGCCCTTATTGTCTACATTATCTTAGAAGCTAGAAATGCTTTTATTTGTCGATAAAAATCATACTATGAGGATGTAGAGGGCACTGGTAGGCCAAATATTCAAACTGAGAGCTATCATTATCTGTATTCCCTGATTTATCTATCCCATACCAAACATAGCCCAAATACACGGGTATCCTGCACCCAAATATGCGTTAGGTACTCCATATAACCCAAAGCTGCCCTTCCGAAATAGAACATTGGTTAAAAAGAGATTTATAGGAGAATCATCAATCCAATGCCATAACTGCCCCATATCACTCAGAAAGATCTCACGACCGTCACACATACCGGTCACTGAGGCACATAATATCAACCGCACATGAAGGCGCAGTATCCTTGCTCTTTTCACTCAAACAGTTAGTCAAAGGACAGCTAGTCAATTAGCATCGACTGGCGTGAGCGAATCCCCGTGAGGAATGCTCAGATGGCATTGATATTCGTATCACAGATTTAGTCATACAATTTCTTTTTCAATAGGAGTGTGCCGAAGCTCCTAGTTGAGAGAATAGGTGAAAGAGTCTCAGGCCATCGTTTTGTGCAGGGAGGTCCGTCGCAGATTGGCACACTGGACTGACACTCCCCGGAGCTCACACAATCGTGAACCAGATACCGTGATGCGTTTATTCACGGGATTGTTGCTACTCTCCCCAAATCTGCACCGCTTCCAATGACATCCCACCAATCTCTCCCAACCAATCCTGCGACAGTCTCCCAATCGGATCATCTCCGCAACCATGCTCGTGGATATTTTGTAAATCCCTAAAACAATCCCTCAACACTGAATCCACCGCCAGCGGCGGACTGGTCACCATATCCGGCACAGGCCATGACGTTTCCAGGCCACCGGGTGTGCTTGTGGTATTATTCATATGGGCCATTCCGCTCATGGACATGCTGGATGGAGAACCCAGCCCGCCAATTGGTATGGAACCTTGCGGATGTTGGCTAGTCGCTGATGACGGCGGTGGCGAGCTTAAAAGTTCAATGGCATCGGCGAGAACTGCGTCGCTCAGACGGTGGAACACGTCGTGAGAATTGCGGGAGGCAGACCAGCGCTCGGATACAGCTACCAGCACGTTAGAGCAAGCACGGGTTTCGTTCACAATTTCTATGATAGATGGATCTTCGTCGAGCATCGTGGTCGCGTGGCCTCCGGCTGCTATTCGACGTTTTGCGCGAAAATGCCGACCAACGGCGTAAACGTAAGAAAGGCCTGCCATGAACACGGCGTGTAGCGTAATCCATGTATAGTTAATCCTCCTAGAGCGATGGAGATGAGCATACAAAGTGATAGATTGCTTCGCAGCCATAAAGATCGTTTGTATCGAGACTGGAACTTTCGTCGAAACTGCCGAAAATGCAGGGGACGGGCGGTAGAGCATCAGAATTGCGTTGTGGTATAAAATCTCGTACCACTCATGTGCACGGAAACTTGACCTGTCACCCGGTATTGCACTAGAAAGATCTACAGCAGGAAGATTGAGGGAAGCCGTGTCATGGCGCCATGCCTCAAGTTCCGCTGCCAGGCTTTCTCGAACTTCCAAAGCAGCACTGTCCTCGACTTTCTGCTGAGGGCGCTTTCCACTGTGCAACGAAGCGAGGATCTTGCCACATAGGGTTCTATAGCGAACAATGTGAACGAACAAGGCCGTGCGAGAAAATGACTCGCCGGTTGACGGGTGAAAGCTGGATCCAGGTGGGGTGATATCCAAATCGAATTGGGAATCGGGGAGAGAAACGTCGATATCCTCGAGTCGAATTGCAAAGGGCCGGCCCAGCGTAATGCTCACAACACTGATTTCCGTCTTGTCAACAGAAGGGGTACTATATCATATGAGATCCACATAAAAAGAGAGGAACGTACCGATCCATTGCAACGACGCAAAAGAAACACCGACGTTTAGTTTCTGATCGAATGAATTGATCCGTCGCGCTTAACCCAGACGGATCGGGAGTCTGACGAACCTGATATACAAGCTCTCGATGAAGGCCAAGTTCAAAGCATATTCGCGCCGCGACTCCGACTAAATGCCACATGCCTAGAGAGAACAAGAGAGGAAAAACAAAGAAATCAGTGATCATCACCCATGACCCATCTCGTCCAGCGGGCAGACCATACTTGCAGAAGTATCCTGGATTGAACTCCTCATCCGATACTGCACAAGCAGAAGGATGGCTTGTAGCGCCTTAATCCCACCAAGCTGCAGGACCTCATTAAGCCTGGCCAATGCAATTGCGTGAAAATTTTCGGCATCAGGTCTCGTCTGCCAATCGAATTTATGGAAATCGACCGACGATATAGCTAATATCATATAGTATACAAACGCAGCGGAGTGGTCGCGATCCAGGGACGATGGATCTGCGTATATTTGTTCAAAGGAGGCAAGGACGGTAGGGCGATGGAGGAAAGGGTAGCAAAGGTGGTCATGTTCGAAGTATGCATGGTGTAGGTCTCGCGCGAATAGTTCAGGGGGAATCTGGGAGAGGTCGGTCTTCGGTATTGATGCGAGGGATCCGGGAAGACCACCGGCGGGATAGGGAGAATTGCGTTGGAACTCTCTGGTTTTGAGAGCAATTGACGAAGTAGGTGCAGAAGTTGCTTCTACTGTAGCACGAACAAGGTTGGCAAACAGCACTCCGCTGCCCGATCCTAAGAATTGCCTCTCCCCGCCAGCAGTCAGGGATAGGAACGAAACCTCGTCCGTCACCTCATTGTCGCTGTCTGACCGTGGTTGCTGCTGTTGCTGCTGCTGCTGGTCCTGAGGGAGGGCAGCCATTGCCCGATCCTCACTTGAGGCGCCATTTACTCCCGTGGCCGCAGCAAGCTGACTGTTAGCACTCGCCAATCTCGCAGCCAAAGCACGATTAGTCGCCTCGCACTGCTTCAGCCGGCGCTCTAACCGCTCGACAACCTCTTTTCTATACGTCGGCTCTTTGGAACGATCTGTATATACGCAGGGGACACCGGCCTTCATACACGGGCCGCAGAGAGGTACCTGTTTATCACATCGTGACTTTCGGCGATGGCAACGATCGCAGGCCTGCATGGTCGATCAATTTAGAATTTTTTTGGCCCGATAGCTATTATTATTTTTCGTTGGTCGGTCCTTTTCCTGTTTCCCTCCCTCTTCGGACTCCTTGTCTAACCGCCTAGAAATAATAATAGTTCGCGGCTCCGTTGCGCAATGATAGGGTTTCCGTGAGGCTGGATCGGGTGCTGGCCAGGATGGGTCGGTATCGGTCTCCATGACCGAGGGAGCCAGCGTGAAGTGAGGTGACGGGCGAGCGAGGCCTTGTTGGGGGTTGTTCCGGTCTCGCTGCCCTGATGGTTCGTTCGGTGGATCGTGGGGTCGGCTCCCTGCGGGTCCCGCAGCATTGTCAGGTGTCCTAATTGGCTCAGCACAGACACAGCAGGACGGCGACGAACGCGGCAGAGCGGCGGGAAAAGAAGAGCGCGCAACGCCATGGCCCGGGCAAAAGGGCTCTCTCAACAAGTTATATATTTGCTGGACTGCACAGCACGGGCAAGGCTATAAGTATGTAATCAACGATGGGCGTCCCAATTGAACCGGATAGCCCGTCAACCCTCGTGCAGCCAATCCACAGCACCGACGCCCCCATGGACAGCTGGCTGCCGGAACCTGGCACCACAACCACGGCTAGGCCCGGCATTCGGGGCTTTCCAAGTTTCCCAGAAAAAAAAAAAGAGGGCTACTGGGCTCGGCGGCAGAGTATTGATGAGCGAGATGGACGACCAACGCACGCTCGCGAGTCCGGCGAACACTCAAACCTCACCCTCCTTAGGCGGTATGTGCCTCTCGAAGGTAGTATTACATTGCGTATGCAAGGCCGTGAGCTGACGTCCATTCCATTCAATCCTGGCAAAACTAATTGGGTTCTGGAGGTAACGTACGGATATGCAACAGTTATTCAGCCTGAGAAATATATGTAATAAGGAAAAAAAAAAAAAAAAAAAACAAAAAAGAGGGCATGAAGTGGTCGAGAAATAACTGCCTATAACTACCCGAGGTCCAGCTGAACATTGATGTCAGTGCAGCAGCCCACCATGTCGCCCAAAATATTTTCGAATATCGAATATCTAATATGGCAACACCGTGATCAATCCATCGATATAAGGCCAAAAGCTGGCGGAATCGCCTCCAAAACCCAATTTCCCAATGTAGCTGAATATCAAACTAGCTCATAAAATGCGAAGAAATAAAAATGCTGCAAATCGATGAGAAACGGTAACCAAGATGCCTCCACGATATTCTGTAAAATAGAAAAATAAGAAAAAAAAAAAAAAAGGTTGCCCTATTCCTTTCCCAATGATCAAAGAAATCCGCCGCTCTTTTCAAACTGTGAAGTACAAAAAAAAAGCCCATTTCTGCCGTGTCAAACGTACAGGCTGCCCTAAAAATCTAGCCAAAAGAGGAGAGAGGAAGAAGAGGAAGAAAAGGATAGAGGGAGGTACATGTGAAGTTACGCCGCGACGAGACGTCATGGTGATATGTCTAGAAAATCGATCATCGGGGAGGAAGTTATGGAAAGGTAATGGAGCTGTAATGACGATATCTCGCCGAGACGTAATCACGAAAGAAATGCGGTGGTGGGACGTAGTTTGTACTAGAAGAAGCCGTGTCAAGGCGACGGTGCCTTGCAACTAGGAAGGCCGGTTGGATCGGCTGTGTGTGTTCCCCTGTTGGTTTTGAGTGTAAAGCTGTCCTGGCAGGGTGGTAGAGAGCGGCGCTGACAATTGCGAGTTCAGACACGTGAGCGCAACTTCGGCGGCGTCTTCTTTGGCATTGTGGAGGTATTGGCCGTCGTAGAAATAGCGAGCAGCGAAGTTCGTACCCTGGATGGTCACACTACTCGACCAGGCGGTTCGACCTCCTGGAAGACAGAACGGCTTTGTGTCAACATCATGCTTCTCCGAACTTAAGCTAAGGGCGCTAGCCATCGTATTCCTTCACTAATGTTCCCATTGCGAGAAGAAAACGTAGATGGAGAATTGTTTCTCAAGGAGCGGCGGGGAAAGTGAACCAAGTTTGAACATAAGGATAATGGAATGAGATACCTCGGCGGTCCGATACGAGGCTGAAAACCGGCTCCGGCAGCTGTGACAGCTTGCAATAATCTATCGCGCATGTTAACAAGATGCTGTTCTTAGCATTGAAACGGTTGAGAGCTCGAACCTTGAAGTTTTTCCTGCCATGTGGGGCGGGTCACTCCGTTAACGGTAGCAGCGGCCATTTTTCACAAGGGTGCTTTGGCTGAAATCTGTGCAAGCTGGTCATGATGGATCAGATATCTTGCAACACCTTTCAATTATCCCAAGGAGCTTACCGAAAGACAGTGGGATGAGGGGTATCACTGGGTTGTGACGTCGGGGAAGCTAGGTATCCGCGTTTGGTTTCCTCCTTTTGTAGAAGAGAAATCAATGCGATCGGCGACAGAAGGGGGGAGTACTGCGGATATTATAAGAATCGAGACGGGAGCGGTAGAGCTAAGGTAAAGCCGTTTATATCACTCGACGTGAGAGGTTCTTTGAGGATTCGCGTTTGAATCCACGCCACTGGAGTGGTTCTGGCCAGCGTCCTAATAAAGAGCCGAACATTATGCAGGAAAGAAAAGAAATCAGGATGGGCAAATATGTCATAGTTGTCCTCCACACACACACGCAGCACAAGCCATTTGCAACTCTCCGTGCGTTGCAGTTGGGCTAACCCCCATCCTCGACAAGGTGCCAGGAGGATGATGGGTCGGCCCGCTGCACTTCCATTAGATCTTTTGGGAGAACATGACAAGCTAAATGGGTGAACAAAACAACCCTGCAAATGTAGGCCTGCATATCCTCCGGAACGAAAGGAAAACAACCTCAGCGGGAAAAGGGGGCGCGGAAAAGGAATGATTGGTGAAGAGGCATCATCTCTACCCCACCAGAGCACGATTGAAGGTGGAGGGGTAAAGCAAATGGGCCAAAGTCGGACGCAGTATGATATAGCCAGCCCCGGTGCGAATCGGAGTGTCAACTGCGAGGGGTTTTGCCCTAGTTCCCTTATTTTTTTTCTTATTCCTTTTTTTTTTCCCTCTCTTTTTCTCTCTCTTAGGCGAAGGCCAGATCGAATCGCGTTAATCGGCCCGGTTAATTGTCATGAGAGAGAGAGAGAGAAAAAATTGGACCAAGCCAGGGTGATGTGTTGTGGAGAGAGGGAGAGCAGGTTGGGCAGCGGAGATCTCTTGCGAAGGGCCCAGCAGAGCGTTGCCAGCTCATCAATTGGCAGACAGGCGAGAACCCGAAAGAAAATACAAAAAAGCGAGCATACGAGTGAAAAGATGAGGCATAGACGAGTGGGAGACAAAATTGCTGCCCTTCATGGAGGGGTCAAGCAGCTGAAGGGCCGCAGGTCTCCTGGGTTGATCCCCGATCGGCAGACCTGGGGAAAAGCTCTCGAAATGCTGTAAAGACAGAAATAGACGACCAGCCAGTGGAGCTCCCCAGAAAAGTCAGCAGCAAGAAGGGCGGCCGTCGGTCGTCTTGAATCCCATGTCCTTCCAGCAGGGCCGACGTGCAGACAGACGCGGCACCAGCAGGGATGCGCTGGGATAAAAGTGGATGGTTCAACAGGGGACGTCCGATTTTCTCGCAGACATGATTCGCTGCTTTTTCAGCTTTTTTTCAATTTTTTTTTTTTCGCCCTCACGGAGCTTTCGCTCTATGTTGGGCATTCATACGTGCAGCTGTTCATCCCACACGAACTCCAGGGAGAAAAGTACGTGATTAAGGGAAATTCTAGTCAAGCAAGTGACCGCAAACGGTCTAAAATTAAAATATTAGGCAAGAAACACCGTGTTTCGAAAATCGTCTGCTTAGCCGCCTGAACATGGTGTGAACACCTCAATTGGCGTCGTATAAAGTTAAGGCCAGGCGATACTTTCTCGAGAACTTAACCAGCTAGCGGCGAGTAAGGCCGGCTCTTCCGAAAGCCCATGCCCTTTCGCCATAATACTCTAACTGTGAGGAAAAAGAAAAACACCCTTCTCTGCTCCGGCAGAAGCATCATCACTCATGTGTCATCCGGATACCTGGTAAGTATGCAGGGGCACATTCAACTAGATTCAAAATCAACCCGCGAACCGCACCGTGGCTGCAAGTATTCAAATCTGCGCCCGAAAATATGCAATCCACGCTATTAGTTAGACAATTGTGACTGTTCGTTGCTGCTTGTTACGATACATGCTCAATGCTGCCCATTCCATCAGTCCCGGAGATCATCTGAGTGCCCGGAAAAAAAAAAAAAAAAAAAAAAAAAAGAAATGAAGAAAAAAAAAAGAAAAAGGTCGCTTGCAAATGCGGGTGCCAGAACGATGATGAACAGGGAATAAAAGATTTGGCTCGAATAGGAGAAACGGTAGCCTAATGGCAACTGCAACGACTGGGGTGTGCGCAGGACACGATATTAAAAATTCATGTAAGACCAAAACCGGCTATGTGCATCGTTCATAAATATCATAACACATGTGCTGTAGGTATGCAATTGCGCGCTCAAATATGAAAAGCTGAGAGACTAAACACCCCCTATGTGTCAGAACCGTGCATTCATGTTGTACTGCTACTTGTCCACATCATTCTTGCAAGCAAACAAGTCGAGCATTAATACATTAATCGAATAAAATAAAACCGATTGCTAATACGCTATTTTATAGTAAGAAGTTGTCATGACCCGTGGCCACGAAAAACTAGCTGGCGAATCGAATTGATATGTTGAGAGCCGGAAGACCATCGATTTTGGAAAACCTTGTCGAAAAGCTTGGTCGAAACAAGAGACTCGACGCTCTTGATAAACGTGGATGCAATGGGAGAGGACGGACGTGACTTTTCTTTGTTGTGCCAGCGGCGCCTGATATTGTCATCAACCAGGGCAATCAGGCCTGTAGCGATGACAACACTAATGCTTAGTTGTCAGTAACTTGAAACATGCCGTTCCAGATGGGTTGCAGGGAGAACCCACTCAGCAATATCGCTCATTTTGCCAAATATTGCCGCGTCACTGATCCATATCGACGATGGCGGTACCCAACCTCCCTTGGACTCTTCGTCAAACGCTTCCATGGGAGCCAACGCCTCTGGGACAATATGTGCGACGGGCTTCGGCTTACTGAGATCATACAGATGGTAGGATAGCTCCTCGGAACCGCCGTGATGCCGAATTGACCTCCTCCACTGATATTTTGTACTCCAGTATTCGTAATCGTAGCGTTTGGAAATTTTCGAACCACGTCTCCGGACATCCACATGAGCATAATTGGAAAACTCTAGCTTTATCGTGTTTGTTGGAGATGGTTCATTTTGCGAGGGTGGCGCATCCCTTTCGGGGAACCCGTTCTTCTCAGATGACTCATCTTCCTCCGTTCCTGATTTATAGCCCGAATCTTGCCTTCTGAGATGATTGAGGTTTGTCTGCTGAGACTTCGACTTTGTGCGAAACGGCGAAAAATTGGCCCAGGAGAACGCTGTGTATCGCTTTTCGTTGGCACACTCTCGGTACTTTCTCGCGGAATGACACACTTCTCTGCCAGATTGACGACAGTATCGCCTGAACGAGAATTTCCTCTCCTGCAAGTCAAGCATTCGCAGGTGGAAAAGAATAACTTCGCATTGCCGCCCTCGAGTCTCAGTCACAAGCGTGGATACGCGTAGATTCAGGTTACCGTCGCGGGTCGTATCGTCGTGGCTGACCATAAGCTTTCTACACGAGGGGAACAATCTGCCAAAGCTGGTCGGATTTGAAGCGGTCGCTTCAGCTGGAAATGCCTCGTATCTGTCGCGGACGAGCTCTGTGTGGATTTTCTTCTTCAATTCTTCGCGACAGGGTATCGTTGAGGCGTATGTACTCGTGGATGTCCTCGGATCATCGTCCTTTGTAAACCAATCGGGCACACCTAGCCTCGGCGGACCT